GATCACGTTGACGAGGGGGGGGTAAGAATGGGACATCTTGGGGTTGGGGGTCTGATGGCATGCAGGCAGGCTGCCAGATTGCTCAACCCATAGTAGCTCCAGGGCATGGGGGTGCCGTTGTCTCCCTGAAGAGTATTTTGGGGTGGGGTATGGGGACAACTGAACACTACAGTGAATCTCAGGGTTAATGTGGGTGGGTGGACCTCCAGGCCTGTGCAACAGGAAAATACCTAACCGTGTGGGCCCCCCCATGTGGCTCCCTTGCTGAATGACCACCCATGCCGAGACTGCAACTGAGACTTGATTTTTGCTGTTCCAACTGTGCCTACAGAGAGCACAGGTCCCCCTCCAGCGCTCACTACCAGTTTATGGCATAATGTATCTTCTTGATTTAATCTGTGTCACCCATGACTGCTGGACCTGGTGGCATGGCATTGCGGGGGAGATGTTTGTGGCCCAGAAGTCACTTGTGGCCTTAATTGGGTGTGACATTCCTCATTGAGTACCTGCATGGCCTGAGACCTGGGCTTACGCTGGGCGGGGAGGTGGGAAGGTTGCTAATGTACAGGTAGCCATATATGTTATGCGGGGGAAGGGCAGCGACATAACCTGTGGGATGGGGGGAAGGGGGACTTGGCATCCGTGCTGGGCCCCTCCGGAGTCTGCTCCTTCGAATGACCGGCCCTCCCGGGGCCTGGAGCGGTTGCCAATGAGGGTGCAGGGTGGATGAGCTGTCAACGGGGGGACCAGTAGTGACTTTAGGTGATTGATATGATTGATATGTGGGACCGGGAGGGAATTCATTACATTGTGATGTAGGCTGATGAAGGCTGTCACCATGCATAACACACACGCCTAGCCCCAGGCCAGCAGACGTATACGAAGCATTATGACCTCCCTTACATGCAGAGAGTGTCATTGACTAGGGATGAGGGGTTTGTTGACTGACAAAGGACTGAATCACAGATGATAGGCTGGACGGGAGGGACAAGGGGGACCACCTCCATGGCATGTCAGCTCGGACAAACACGTATGATCACGGTGCTTACTTTGCGGCTCGCCGTCCTCCATACTAATGCTCCACACGGACCTGTAGACGTATCCAACGTTAATGTGAGCCATAGGGCTCTCATGACCATTGAACCTCTAGTGTCACTTTTCCCACACCGGCCAGGGAGGCGCTCACTTTGAAAACAGATACCCAACAGTTTACGTTATTAAGTTATTAGCTTGTTAATAACTATTAATTGTTACAAAATTAAGTTATTGGTTTTTGGCCTTTATAGCAATTTGTCTCTCTGAGAACTGTGCAACTGCTCACTTGTGCAGCTCACCGTGACAGATACTCCCCCTCCACTGGTGTTTAAATTACTTTCCCCTTTCTTTCTTACCTGCTGCACCCCCCTCTCTTGATTCCTCCCCAAATTCTACTCCTCGACCTTGCTTTCCTCTCTACCTCTATCACCCTCTCTACCCTTCTTCCTTCACCTGCTCTTCTCCTTCCCCTTCCCCGCTGGCCCCTGTCTGTCTCTGCCACATCGCTCTGCCGTGGTGCCGGGGTTCGCACCTGCCCATTTCCACTTCTGGTTGCACAATGTACAGGGCTTGAATGCCCCCGAGTGGAGGTCTCACCTTCTGCGTTCCCTATGGGCGTCCAAATTCTCAATTGCTTTCCTGCAGGAAACACGTTTCTAAGGGGATACTAGCCCAGCACTCTGGGATTCAAGGTACCTGGTGGGGTTCTTTGCAAATCACAAGATGGCCCAAAAGGCAGGGGTCACAATATTATTTGCAAACACTATGTCAACAAATACGTCAACCTGAAGCTGAAAACTGAAAAATCGGAAGCACTAACCATGTTGATCAAGAAAGTGGAGGCCACCCATCTACGAGCCCAGTTCACATTTACCTGCTGCAACACCAAACTTGAACACCTTGGTATATGGCTAACCGCGGACCTATCCCAATTGTATACCCACAACTTCACACTGCTCTTACACATGCTGAAAACTGATATGGTGCGGTGGTCCAGCCTCTGCGTCTCTTGGTTTGGCAGAATGAATGCCATCAAGATGAACCTCCTTCCTCGCTTGCTTTATTTTTCCAAACGATCCTGATCTGCTTGCCTATGTCCTTCTTTGCTTGCCTACGTCCTGATTGCCAAGTCCAAAAGCTTACATCCAGATTTTGGACTTGGCAATCCTCAGGTTTATTTGACAAAACCAAGCATCCATCAGGACAAAGCTTATGCTCACTTCAATGCTGGGTCTGCTAACCCCGTAATATTTAACCCGGAAATTGCCAGGGCCCTCACACCCAAGGACATTAACGCATTTGGCGATCCAGATTGGACTTACATGAGCCAGTGGTGCACGCCCGACTCAATCAAACTGTTACCTGAAATAATGCCGAACAGGACCCTGACGACCCTGGACAGGTTCTGCTACTTCCAAGTTAAATCATATTACAACAAGACAGAAATGCACCTTTAGCTGAACAAATTCCAGCCAAAAGGATACACATAAAGTGGATTAATGGGGTACTGAAAAGGGCCTAACCCTTATATTAACCAATACACAGAAACAAAGAGAGGAGACGATATCCCTGAAACACAGGAGACAAGTCCCCTCAATTCTAGTACCCCTTCTGGAGCAATATATTTGCCCACTACCATGTATTACAAAAAATAATAAAGTTTTATTTAAGATCATTAAAATCTCATGTATAAATTCTATAATACATCAAAATGTTATGGCTAAGAGTGAGAGAACATGGAAGAAAGCAACTTGAAAAGTTGACACTACAACCCTTGGGTTTA